CAATCAGAAACTATGTCGTTGAATTTAATCATGGGAAGAAAGATATCATAACCAACATATGGAAACTTGTGCTTCACAAAAGAACTCGTGTTATCAAATATGGTGGGATTTCCCCTCAAAATGGTGATCTTTTCCATCAACATTAGCAAGGTGCGTGAGATATTTATGATATTTTAGGGTTTGATAAGAATTCCAATTTACATTATAAATTTCATTGTTATTCCATGTCCTTCAAGGTTATTATTTGTAATATATTTATTGTTTTATTAATTTTATTATGTTTTATTGTCATTCCATGTCGTTGAATTATGAATTTTAGTGTTATTATATTTGTTATCGGGAAATGACGTCTCTCATTCATTTCGATTAATGATTTATATGTTAAAAAATGCAACTGACGATCCAAGTTATTTAAAGGACAGGGTTATATTAGCGCCTACTTTGGAGGTCGTTGAGTCTATCAATCAATACATGTCGGATATGAATTCTGCTGAAGGTCGTACGTATTTGAGCTCTGACAGTACGTCTAAGTCGGATTCCAGCAATGGCTTTTTGGTTGATCTCCACACACCCGAGTTCTTGAATAGCATTAAGTGTTCATGAACGTCGAACCATGAGTTGCATTTGAAGATAGGAACTTCGGTCATGTTGTTGCGAAACAAACCATTCTATGGGTCTGTGTAATGACACATGTTTGGTTGTTACGAAGCACTCTCCGCATGTTCTTGAATGTAGGATATTGACTGGAGATCACGCAGGTGAGAAGGTGTTGATTCCTCGGATGAACATAATTCCTTCTGATGTTAGGGTTCCGTTGAAGTTCCAACGGAGGCAATTTCCCCTTATGGTTTCCTATGCCATGACCATAAAGAAGAGTCAGGGTCAGTTTTTATCACATGTTGGACTGTTCTTGAAATAACCTGTTTTTAGTCATGGCCAGTTATACGTCGTTGTTTCACGTGTTACTAATAGGAAGGGGTTGAAAATATTAGTTTGTAGGGACGATGAGTTACGCAGTAATCAAACTAATAACATTGTATATAAGGAGGTTTTTAATAATGTATAACCTTATACCAATGACGATTTTATGTTTACTTTATGAATGTCATACGTATTATAATAACTTATTAATTAATGATCTTTTAATTTTTAAAATTTTTAAACATGTACTAGCCCGTGCATCGCACGGGTTACATACTAGTTTATTCATCATCTCACATAATTTAACTAATCTATTAATATATAATAAAGATTAACATAACTCACTTTTAAAAATTCTTTCCTGTCAATTTCATTAATTATTGCCTAAAAATAATAAATTAACAAATTGCCTAAAATCACTCTTATTATTGTTTTCAGCCTAATAAATAGCGAGCATTAATTGCAATAGATACTATGGAATAAATCATTATATTTATGGAATCCCGCCATTGCATTAATTTTTTCACAATTCGGACTCAAACTTTTTCCTTTTTTTTTCACAATTCGGACTCTTTATTAGCATATTTATTTTTCTGACTTTTTTTTTTACGAATATAATAAAAAAATAGGGAATCAAAATCTAAATAGATCTCCTCTTTTTGTGGCTCCATATAAATCTCCCCTTTGAAGGCCGCATATTCTGCGTTTAATAAGGGGTCTGCCAAAAAATAAAAATAATTAAAACTGATTCATAATTATCATCTATCACTTTTGGTTAAAATCTTACCAATATCTTTCAATTTAAATAATTTTCATCAATCACTTTTTGGCTAAATAAAAGTTGTATAAAAGGATATTCACTACCACCATTATTTCTTCACATCATTCACAGCATTCAGAGAAAAAAAAATACAGAGATCAATTTCAGAACACATCGATAATATAATGTCGCTAGTCTGGGATACACTCGATTCCGTGAGTAAGACAAACAAACCTTATTTGTGTTTGAGAGCATTCCGAATAATTGAAACGCGTCACGAACGAAAGAGTTGGAACGCATTCCATATACAGTTTCATGGTGAACAGGTAAATATTTTCATTTGTAATATCAAATTTATATAATTTGAAAAAATATTTTAATTAATATTTATAAATTTATTTTGTAGGGCGCATTTATTAAAGGCATAATACGTTCTACAAATATGGGAGCATTTTGAGGTGTACTTAACGAAGGCGAGATGTTCGGGAACGCCAAACCATGAGTTGCATTTGAAGATAGGAACTCCAGTTATGTTGTTGCGAAACATGGACCATTCTATGGGTCTGTGTAATGACACACGTTTGGTTGTTACGAAGCTCTCTCCGCATGTTCTTGAATGTAGGATATTGACTGGAGATCACGTAGGTGAGAAGGTGTTGATTCCTCGGATGAACATAACTCCTTCTGATGTTAGGGTTCCGTTTAAGTTCCAGCGGAGGCAATTTCCCCATATGGTTTTCTATGTCATGACCATAAACAAGAGTCAGGGTCAGTCTTTATCACATGTATGACTGTTCTTGAAAAAGCCTATTTTTAGTCATAGCTAGTTATACGTCGCTGTTTCACGTGTTACTAATAGGAAGGGCTTGGAAATATTAGTTTGTGGGGACGATGAGTTACCCGAGTAATGCTTACCTACCCACGGTGGGCACATGTTAATATTCCACCGTGGAAGTGGCATGCACACATTGGTGATGTGAATATGTTCAAAAAAATACATCACCAATGTGTGCACGCCACATAAGCGGTGGACATATTAACATGTGCCCACCATGGGCGGGTGTAATCAAACTAATAACGTTGTATATAAGGAGGTTTTTAATAATGTATAACTTTTTACCAATGACGAATTTATGTTACTTTATGAATGTCATACGTATTATGATAACTTATTAATTAATGACCTTTTAATTTTTAAAATTTTTTCAAAACATGTACTAGCCCGTGCATCGCACGGGTTACATACTAGTTATCACTATCTTAATTTTAACTAATTATCATTAATCTATACTTATATAATAAGGTATCATATTTAACAAATTTAGTAGGTTGAAAAGTCAACGTAATTAATGCATTGCTATTTTTATTCAGAATTTTATTTAATTATTTTACTTATTTGTCTTATCCTATAAAATCAGTTTAAGAAAAAAAAAATCATAATATCTGATAAGTAAAAAAAAAAGGCGTAAAATCTTTACTAAAATAAAAAGGCTTTATTTATTTGTCTTATTCCATATTAACATCGATTTTGTCAAAACAAATCCCATAAAATCGGTGAAGTCAAAATTTGTACGTAAAGTCTATCTATACTAAAAAAGAGGCAGATTCAAAATTCCTTATCCAATTCCTTCTTTTCCTTATCTTATTCTTTCTTATTATCTAATTGTATGGAAATCTGTTCTGATTTTGTTCAATTCTCTAATTGTATTTGTATTATATCCCATAAAATCGGTTTAACGAAAAAAAAAAAACCATAACATCCGAAAAGTAAAAAAAAAAATACGTAAAATCTTTACTAAAATAAAAAGCTTTATTTATTATCTAATTTTATGGAAATCTGTTATGATTTTGTTCAACCGATTTCTGTATATTCAGATTCAGATTAAACATGAATATATATCTACTCTACCCATTATAAATTACAAATCTCAAAATATCGAGCCATCATCTTCCTCACTGTCAACCTCCTGCGAACAACAAATATCCCGAATCAGTCTTTTATTCAAAATAATGAATCAAGGATTCGGGTTAATCAAACAAGTCAATAGGTCTAATAGACCTATGCTCAAAGATCGATTTGTGGGAATGATTCTCCAAAACTGGGGCAGCACATACAAATCATATCTCGAGTTGCTTCTGCATGATAAAACTATGCCAAATTATTTGAATTTTTGTTTTAATTTCGAAATTTGAAACATATATTTTAATTTATTTTTTTTTTTCATGTATGTATTTAGATATTTTTGTACATGTTTAGTGAAATATATTTTTTATTTTTTTTATTTATATTTTCAGATTTGTAATTTGGCTTATTTATTCTACATATCGTGCATGTATTTAGATATTTACATTATTTATATTTATTTTCGTGTATTGTAAAACTTTTATTGACTATCGCATCTTATAGTTAATAATCCTCAAATAAATATATCTCGTGCCTCGCACAGGTCACATACTATATATATCCCGTACATTTTTCTTTATTCATTTATAAAATTATAAGACTGGATAAATGACCTTAAAATTGTGCACCCCATGCATCGCACGAGCTCTGTACTAGTTTTAGCAAAATTAGTTAAGTTATCTTCCCCGTAATAAAATTTTCTCTCTCTAAAAATCTCTAAAACCTCGATCCCCAAATTCGCAAAAGTGTGCCTCCCCTCGGGCCGCCATCGTCTTCATGCCTCCAGCGAACATCCGGCTCGCACCCTAGCGGATTTACATTTGGTCCAACCTAGGCAACTGCCCAGGCTGGATTTTTGCTGCTAATATTTGCAGTTATAATTTCCAAATAAATATTTAGGAAGAAAAGACAAAATTTGAGAACTTGCGAGACATAATAAAAACAATTTTAAGCTTTTTTATTAGTCTATATAAAACGAAGTCGAACCTCTATGTTCTCTTCTATAATTAAATTTATTGAAATGATAATACCAGATGGGAATATTGCTGATCAAAGAGGACACTGTAAGTTGCATGTGCATATACAATCCTTTGATTTCATATTTTATCTTATTGTAATGAGACAAATTTTACACTAACTAATGAGTTATGAGTAGAATTATAAAAGGATATTGATCGAGATATTTTCAATGTTATGGATTTGGTCAGGACAAGTAAGACCTTGCTAGTTTATAAAAACTTGATTTTTTTTTTTGTTTAACTAGAGCTTATTTGAAAACTGTTAATATGATTAGTTGTGTGTGGAAATTTTAAATTTATTAAAATAACATTTGAAAAGAATAATTAAAATTGATTGATGTAAATATAGGAGATATATCATTGGAAAAAGATAGGTAGTTAAAGTTGTGTGAGTGGAATAATAGTGAATTAATGTAATGTGTAAGAATAATTGAATGATATTATTTAGTTATATTAATAATATTGAAGATGATGGGGTTGAGTTAAATTCGAGTTAGATTTAGAATTGAGAATATAATTTTTTTTCTATTTTTTTTTCTACGACCGAAACAACTCCAGAAAATGAGAGAAGAAGAATGTGAATGGTAAAATTTCTTGCACAAGGTAAATTCGTATGTATTAAGCACGGTATAAAAAATTTTCCCCTGGCTGATAAAAGTTTCTACATCCGCCGCTGCTCGCACCAAGTCCGTCGGCGTGGCTAAGGTGGTCTCGGCTCTCCTGCGCCGAAATGGTCCCGCTCTGTTACGAGCGCCATGACGGGCATGGTCAAGACGAGCTGCGACGGGTTTACCGGGTCCAACGGTCGTCACGGGCGCCTTTCGGTGGTCTGTGGTGGTGGTTCAACCATAGACCATTTCCTTTCCCGGCCTTCTCTGTTGCTGGGATGGCGAGGACCTTTTGCCGGTGGCTCCAGGTGGTGGAGCGGCTCCGGAGTGTGCTTGGAGGGGGCTGCGGTGGTGGACCGACTTGGGTGGGTTGGCGGTCAGAGGGTGGTTTTCTCGGTTCTGCAGCTTGGTTCCAGGGCGATGTTGTGAATTTCATGAACGGGAAACATGGCGAGGCAAGATCTGAGAAATGGAGTCGCGATGTTGAAGAAAATCTGGATAAGAGTGAGATGGGAGATGGAAGTGCAGTGAGCAGGGTTATGTCGGAAAATGAAAGAACGATCGAGATTGAGACACGTGGGGCGCCAACAGCCTTTGATCAAGAGAAGAATGATTCAAGTGAAGCGTGACACGTGGCAGTAGCAGTTTAATGAACATTTTTATGTTATTTCCATTTTTAGTTTTAGAGTTATTTAAATGTGAGTATATTCACATGGGTTGTTATGTTGTGGGCCCATGGGGGGTAAAACCAAGCTTTTGTATTTAACCTTAGGGGAAATGATATTTTCGGTTATGGAGAAAATTATGCTATCTCTCTACTCTCTCTCTCTCTAATATTCCCTCATCCCTCTTCTTTCTCTCTCTAAATCCCCCATTGTTCTTCTGAGCTCAATCTCATACTTATTCAGTTCAATTAAAAAATTACAAAAAATATAAAAATTCCCTAACTATTACATTTGGTATCCAGAGCCACTCCGTCCTTGGAAGATGGCTGAAGGCACCCGTGGTAAAGATCTGCAGGATCTCAACAAAAAAATCGATCAATTACTGCAAACAGAAGCTCTCAAGAGAGATGCCTCAGAATTAAAAATGCAAGAGAAAATGGATGCTGTTAATTCACAGTTAAAGGTGATAGTGGAAGGTTTCAATATGGAAATCATGGAGCAAAAAGCAGATGTCAACAGCAAACTGGAGAATCTGGCCAATACCTTAGCTTCCATTCAACTGCAGCTTTTAAACAGACACAAGGACAAGAGCAGTGATGAAGAGGAGTCAATACTGGGAGATCCAAGGACACAAGCTCACAACCAGCAGTTCACAAACAGACAATATAAATTCATCAAAACTGCAAACAATGGTGAGCAACCTGTCAATAATCATTTCTTGAGCACAAATCCCAGAATAGAGTTTCCCAGGTTTGATGGCACAAACCCAAGAGCATGGATTTTGAAATGCAATGGCTATTTTAAACTAGTGCCAGCTGTCTCAGAAGCACAAAAGGTTATCCTTGCCTCTATGCATTTGGAGGGTAAAGCAGCTTTATGGTTTCAGAACCTAAATATGAAACAGATTGATCTTGAGTGGCCCCAGTTTGTTGAGGTGGTGTCTGCCAGATTTGAGGAACTCAGAGAAGCTAAAATTATTGCTGAGTTCAACAAGTTAAAACATACTGGTTCCTATGTTGATTATGTGGAAAAATTTGAGGAATTAAAAGCATGTATGCAGTTGATGAATCAAGGGGACTTTTCTGAGGAATATTATATTGCTAGTTTCATCAGTGGATTGAGTGAAGAGCTGCAAGCATTTCTGCACATGTTCAACCCAAAAACTCTTCAACAAGCAATAGAACTGGGGCAGCAACAATTAGTGACACTGGAAGCCATTACCAAAAAGCTCAAAAGCTACCAGAGACCTTATTCACATTCCCAGAACACAAACACAAACAGGATAATCCCTAACCCTAGCCCTATAAACAGGATACCACCTGCTTCTTACCAGAAACCCAACACTAAACTCC